CCTCATAAAAGCCGGAAAGGGTAATGAGAGGGGAAGGAGACCCCTCCAGGGACCCAGAGCTGGCAAGGAGAAGCAGACAGGAGCCAAGTGTTGGCTGGGTCTCAGAGAAAGCCTTGTGCTCCAGGAGGCAAGAAGAGCCCGTGGCACAGTGGTTTTCAAAGTGTGGTCTCTGGTCCAACAGCATCAGCTTCACCTGGGAACTTGTTAGAAATACAAAATGCAAATCCTTCAGCCCCACCCCAGACCTACTGAATCAGACACTTTGAGGTGGGGCCCAGCAAGCTCTCCAGATGATTCTAAGGTATGCTGAAGTCTGAAGAATAGCCAAAGCAATTAGTAGGTCTGGTACCTGCTCAGCACCTATCAGTCCTGCACCCAGTGGGGCTCACTGATGCCCCCACAAGCCCACTCTGCTTCACCTCCCAGCCAAACCAGGCAGGACGTTTGCAGGCAGGACATTCCAGAGGGACTCATTCCATGAGTCCCATGGCCAGAGATGTGGCCGCCGCAGACATAGGTAGCCCCAAAGGCAAGTCTCCCATCCATCTGCCTGCAAGGATGCCTCTGTCCTTACAAATAGGATTCTGCCTCAGTTTCCCTGCCTCACATTTTGGCTTACCATTGACCTTAGAACTCTGGCTTGGACCTTGGCCTCCACTGGGCCCTGTACCAGGCGATACAGGAGTTTTGTATCCTCAGTAGGGTACCACATCCTGCTCCTGCACCCCTGGTGCTGGCTGGGGTCATTTGTGGACAGACAACCAGCTGTAACTGTGCTTCAGCTGCCCAGGTTCTTCAGGTACAAATGCACAGGCTGTCTACTGAGGAAGGGCAGCTGGCTAAAGGAGCCCACGGAAGGATAAAGTCCAGCTCACATTCCCCCAGCGCAGGGTGGCATCCGCCACGCTGGGGCACCTTTTTCTAATTTGCACAAATGCATGATATGGGCTAGTGCTTGAGTGTCACACTCCCCTTCTCCAAGGTTCCTCTGTTTCTGAGCTGGACCTCCCCCTGCCTTCCCCATGTCTACACCAGCTAGACCTACCCTGTCTCCTCATGTCTACACCAACTGGAACCCCACCCTCCCTAACTGGTCATGCCTACTGGCACCACACGTGCCCTAATTGTCTTCTTTCTTTGGAGCCTCCTGCCTGGACCAGTTGTTCCACCTTCTCCCTCCATACTGCTCATCCTCACGGACTCTCCTGTCATGTTTAAGATGACATAATAACTGGCAGACAAAACATCTTTGTGGATTGAAGTTTGAGGCCATCTCATTACAGCATCTCCTAAGACACCCCACTGACTGACATGCTAGAAAGGCCTTCCTTATATGGCCTGCCTGATGCTGCATCCCTTGTAACTTCTGCACATTAGGGGCTGGCCTCCCTCTGCCCCAGAGCAACCCACGGAGACTTGGAAATCATCCTCCATGCCTGGTTCCACTGGATCTTCTCTTCCCCACTCCTTTAACTAGTCCACTGGTGGCTTGGTCTCTCCCACCACTGCACGTCAAGCTCTGCTATGTTGATTCTGCTAATTGATTTTTTTCCAGACAATTGAACCAGTGGGCACCTAACTTTTCTATTTTAACCATTTGGGATTAAGAAAAATCTTTCTAGGGGCCTGTCCGGTGGCATAGTGGTTAAGTTCATGCACTCTGCTTCTGCAGCCTGGGGTTTGTGGGTTCAGATCCCGGGCGCAGACCTACACACGGCTCATCAAGCCGTGCTGTGGTGGTGGCCCATATACAAAAAGCAGAGGAAGGCTGGCACAGATATTAGCTCAGGGACAATCTTCCTTACCAAAAAAAACAAAAAAAAGAAAAATCTTTCCAAAACACAATATATTCTTCTCCACCTCCTGGAAGAGATGAAAGCCGACAAAATGTAGCCTTTTCTTGGGGCCTCTAGATAATTATTTTTTGAGCCACTATAAAAGTGTTTTTAATACAAGTAATTACACGATCACTGTAGGGAAAAAATGGAAAACACAGACAAATGAAAAGAAAAAAGAATGTTATCACCTGATAGCCTACCAGCCAGAGGCAATGACTAATGACTTTTCGTTGTATAACTTTCTGGACTTTTTCCTAAGCAAACACTTCACCACTTTGGGGCACAAATTCAGTCACTCTTTATTCAATAATTGCTTGAGCTCCGTACGCCCATATGAACAGGAAGCCTCATTCCACACCCACGATTCCACATCCGCTCCCCCAAGGAAATTGGGGGCATATTCAGTGCTAGAAGTAATTCTGATTGCAAATGGCAATCAGAGAGAAACTGGAAAATCAAGAGACACCGATTTCCATTGCTTCTGGCACAGTACTATTGTGTCTCTAGGGAAAATGGTCTTGCAAAGTCAGCTAAGATCCGCCCTGCTGGGCCTGCCTGTCACCTGGTCTGCAGAGGCGCCCAATGTTGGGCTCCAAGCTCACCGCTCTTGTAGCTCACACTTCCAAGTTTAACCACGTTCTCAAGCAGAGCATGACCATGGCAGAGGCGGCTGAGTGCAGGCTAGCTTCTGTCCTCAGCCACCCTCCAGGCCCAGGCACCTCGAGGCCCTGAGGTTGAGCCAGGTCATCAGTTCTGACTCCCCTTTCTTCCTGGTGCCATCCCCTTGTGAGCTGTGGGCCTCTCCTGCTAGGGCACTTCATCAGAGGAATTCCACTTCAACACAAAGGGCTCTTCGTCTTCCTCCCTTTCTTCCCAAATGTCTCTTGGCCCCAAGCAAAGAAACTCCCTGTTTCTCCATGCGGGCACAAAGAGGCGCTTGCCTTTGTCAGGCCACCCAGAAACCTGTTCCATCCTTTCCCCAGGGAAATCAAGGCCTGCTAGCCTAACCTGTGGATAACCAAGAGAGGCCGCTCAAGGGACACTTCCCTGAACAAAAAAGTCAGTTCTTACCAGTTGTCTAGATAAGGAAGGAGCTGATGGCAACTTGCATTAAAAAGCAAGAAAAGTTCTGACCTAACAGGCCTCCTGGAAACAGCAAATATGCCATACGCCCATTCGCCAGATGAGGACATTGAGATCGTCCACTTACTTCTTGAGACACTGAAGTGCCAGCCTCCAGCACTGAAGATTTTACCTCAAAGCAGTTTGCTTGTTGCATTGATGCATCAGAATTCCTCTCCTGCTGGAAAGAGCTGAGCGCCCCCTCTGTCCCCGGCCTCTGGGCCACGGAACCTAGGGCTGACCTGGCAGCACTACTTACTGGGCTCCAGGTATAGCCGTGGTCACCCCTCAGGTCCAAGGACAGGGAGGATTTTGTTTCCGGGCCAGAGACAGCCACATTTTGTCCCCTGCTGCCTGGGCCAGGGAAACATCTACAGGTCAGCCCAGGGGCACGGAGGAGCTGGGCTGGGACAGTCCCTACAGTCAGTGCCATCCTCGGCCATCGCAAATGCAAGGGGTGGGCAGTTTGGCATGCATTTACGTGTTGATGATCTGAGATTATTTGAGATAATTAAATACATTTTTCCCAGATGGAGAGAAGAGGGAAACAAAGGGGTCCAGAGTTCTTGGGAGCTGATCATACTGCTCTCCAGCTGCCTCTCCTCCTCCCAATATCCCACCCCAGCTGTGGACCATGTGTTTGGCATTAGGGTGCCCCTCTGCACTCCGGGCACTTGGCTTGGGAGCACAGTCAGTGTTGAGGGGAGAGAAGGATCTGCATCTTCCTTCCCCCACTCCAGCCCTTGGACCAACACTTTCTGCTTTGGGGGTCGGGGGACATGGAGGGCAAAGGCCTGACCTGGTGCCACCTGCCTGGGCACCAGCATCTGGGAAGAGGAGTGCCCATGCACAGCAGCTGGCCCAAACTCTCACGCTCATAGCCAAACACACCCAGTTTTTTGGTCTCGGCTGGGTGGGACAGGTGTATATCTCACCTGACAAGCTCTGCAAGGCAGGAGACAAAGGGAGAGAAAAGGCAGAGACAGCAGCACCTCCCATTGATCTGGAAGCTGGAGGAGGAGCAGGGGACTGGGGTCTCCCCAGGAGGTGGAAACTCTCAGGGGAGTGGCCTGGACATTGTGGGGCTGGGGCAGGGCACCAGGAGAGTTGGAAAAGCCGCTCTCAGGAAGCTTCCTGGAGTTGTCACAGTTTACAAATGAGCAGAGGGAACTGTGCCAACAGCCCTAGGTGCCGGGGAAGTCCCTGCACCCCCACTTCTTACCTGCGATTGCTGCAGAATTTTCATGGAGGAGGAGGAGGCAATGACTAGGGGCAATGGACTGGTCTTGAAGCAGCCACTGCCCAGCAAGTGCGCCATTTTTATTTAAATGGAAGGTTTATTTGGAGTGGTCTTAGGGGAGTGCTTCTCATTCTCACACTTTATCTGCCTTCTCGTTTCCTCAGTTCAGTCCTCCCCGGATTCCTCTGCCCTCCTGCCTCAAGCCTCTCTCTTCCAATCCATCCAAGCCTGCTGCTGCCTTAGTCTTCTTAAGGCACCAATTTTAGTAGGTGTCAGAGTTCTGCTCCCGACCCTTCAATGGCTCCCACTTGGGATAAGGTGACACTCAAACCCCCTAGCCTGCATTCAGGATCTTCTGTGGTTGGGGTGACCATACAGTCCATTCTGTCTGGGACAGTCTGGTCTATACCTGCTGCCCTGGCATAATTATTAACAACTCCTCTCATGAAAAAAGTGTCCCAGTTTGGACAATAAATGATGTGGTCCACCTGCCTCCAGTCCACTCCCAACCTGATGCTCCAGTGTCCAACTGTCTCTCCTCGAATCCTCTGAGTCAGGGGTTCTTGCTTCTGGCTGCTCATTAGAATCACTTGGGGAATTTTTTTAATAAATACTGCTGCCTGGGCTCACCCTAAAGCGATTTAATTAAACTAGAATTTCTAGGGGCGGGGCCCAGGCTTTGGTATTGTTTTAAGCCCCCAGGGGACTCTGATGTGCAGCCAGGTTTGAGAACAACTGACCTAAGTAAAGCAGGCGTCCTCGAACTCTGTCCCTGAGCCCATCTCAGATATTTCTGTCCCTGAGTTTTTCAGTAACTTGCTCGCATTGTTTATCACCCATGTAAATCCTACCAACCCGCCAAGCCCGGCTCCAATGCTGCCTCCTCCTTCGTCTTTCCCGACCCCTGAGCTAGAAGGGGACTCCCCTTCCACCCACCTCTGCCCTCTCCCTCCATGGCTACCCTGTATTATGCTGTAGTCTGGGTCCTGTTTTTCTTCCTTCATTGTCTATGAGCTCTGTGGGGTAGGTCGTGTCTGGTTCACCTCGGGACCCCAGGGCCCAGACCCAACTTACAGTAAAGGGCCTGCACCAGGCCGAGTGGCCATCACTGCTGGTCCTGAGCCTGGGCAGCACCACCCACCGCCCGACTGGGCACCACCCTGCCTCTCCAAGTTAACTTTCTTTTCCTGGGTGCGTGGCCTCTCATTCGTTCATTCGTTCTGCCTTGTGCCAGATGCTGTCTTCCCCATCCCCTCTTTTTGTTTCCCTTACTATTGGAGAACCCATCTCCATCCCCTGGGCAGCCCATCAGACCATCTTGCACATAAATGGTACTCAGCAAATATTGATTAATAATCAACTAATTAATAGATAAACAAAATATGATCTATCCATATAATGGAATATTATTCAACAAGAAAAAGGAATGAGGTACTAATATATGCTACAATATGGATAAACCTTGAAAACATTATGCTAAGTGAAAGAAGCCAGACACAAAAGGCCATAAATTATATGATATCATTTATATGAAATGTCCAAAATAGGCAAATCCATAGGAACAGGAAATAGATCAGTGGTGGCCAGAGGCTGGGGGAGGGGGAAAATTGAGACTTACTGCTAATAGGTATGGGGTTTCTTTTTGGGATGTTAGAAATGCTCTGAAATTGGATAGTGGAGATGGTTGCACAACCCTGTGACTGTTCTAAAAACCACTGAATTGTACACTTTAACGTGGTGAATTTTATGGTATTGGAATTATATCACAATTAAAAAGAAATATTGTTGATGGATTTTTCTGCCTTTACCCTGTTCTCAAACTTTAATAATCACTAGAATCACCTGGAATGTTTGCTCAAAGTGCAGGTTCCTGGGCCTTGCCTTGGAGCTTCAGGTTCAGTAGATGGGGGCAGAGCCCAGGAATCTGCATTTGACGGTGCTCTTCTAAGTGCCACTTCCTTGTTCCCCCAAGGACTTGGGTCAGAGCATTTCTGAGCCAACCTCAGAACCTCAGAAGACAAATAAAATTCTTTAACCTATTATTTCAGAAAAAAAGCTGAAGATTTCATACACAACCAAAACTTTGTTTTTAGTCTGCTCCTTATTGAAAACAGACTGGGACCCGAAGAAACCTCATCAGGGGTAGGTAATGAAGTAATCATCATCATAATAAAAGAACAGAATGGAAAAACTGCCTGGCCTGGAGCAAACCACAAAAAAATTGTCTTCTGTCTCCAGTGTTCAACTGTGCCATTCAGATGAAAATATCCCACTAGCCACATGGAGAGCTTAATTTGGGCAGGGAGAACTAAATATTAGTAAACCACTGTTCACTGCCCCCTGTACAAATACACACTTACAGACACCCACGCCTACACAGCCAAAATTCTAATTTTTGGTATGGGCTCCATGATTAGGGCTTTCTTGGGGGTTACAAGGAAGCAGAGTTGTAAATCGGTATTAGAATGTGATCAAAAGGCATGTCTGTATGCAATTATTTTGTTTTGAGGCCAGCGTTCAGAGGCACCGGCTTTAAAGCTCTGACTTGGTCACGTGGTGTGCTCTCGCATACATACACGCTCACGGGTATGTCCCTCTTGGTCCCCACAAAAGAGGGAAGACAAAGGCCGGGGTTTTATCACTGTTGCTTCTTTGTTACAGGATGGAGTCTCACCCCAACAGCTCAAAAAAGACCCTCTCCATCATCTGCCCTGGCTGGTCCTTAACCATTGCAAGAGGAAGTCTAGCTAATAACCTCTTGCCCCGGAAAGTAGCAGTTACTGTAATTTGAGAACAGACATCCCTTGCTTAACAGAAATTTACTTAACAAAACTCCAAATTGAATAAGGGGTAAATGAGAGGAAATAACATTTGTGATGCACGTCTACCGAGTTCCGGGTACTGTGCTGGGCAATTTCACGTGCATTTTGGAATTTCATTCAACGAGCCATCACAGCAACCCCACAATGGAGGTATTATTATCCCCCATAGGACAGCGAAGAATCTGAGGCTCAGAGTGGTTGTGTAACTTTCTCATGGTCACAAGGTTAGCAAGTGGCATTGTTAAAGCAAGTAAAAGATCTCCTCAAAGGAATAACACAGAAAAAAATGGAATCTGGGTGTCCTACGAGTCCATCTTGCAGTGGCTGGCTTGCTAAGGCTGCTGCCGTTTGTTATACGTGCACATGAGAAAGCAAAACTCAGTTTGTCAGATAATGTCTGAAGCTATGAGCACTTTGCCAAGCCCAACAAGCCACCATCATCAATGGGCATAAAACCAATGGGTTGTGTTTGGGAACAGAACTGTTAACACAGATGCATTCTAGTGATGTCATTATTGGCATCCTAAGTCACAAGGCTCTGGTCTGGGCCTCTGTCTACCAGTCCAGCCTCATTTGTATCTGCCTTTCCATGCCTGTCTGGGCTCCAGCCAAATAGCACATGGCTGTCCCTTGAGGGCGCCTTGTTCCTTTCTGCCTTTGGCCTCTGCTCTCCCTCTACCCTTCTCATGACCCCAGCTTTGCTCCTTAACTGTGACTAGAGGGAAGCCCAGGAGGACAGGGACTTTGGCTGGCTGGTTCACTGCATCCCCATAACCTAGAACAGTGCCTGGAATGTAGTTGACATGCAATAAATGTCTGTCAAGAGGATGAATGAATGACTTCATGAATGAATCATAGTTCAGATCCCAGCTCACACTTACTTCCTCACTTCAGCTTTCTCTGGGTCATGTCCCCCTTGTTAAATGCTCTGATTACTGATCTACTTTTTTCTTTATTATGTGTATATATATTTTTGTGATTACCTGTCTATCATCTGACTCTCCCACAGGGCTACAAGCTCCATGAGGATAAGGACAATCAGGTTCTGCTCACCACGGTACTCTTAGCAACAGTCCTGTTGTAGGTGTTCAATAAATGTGTGATGGATGAATAAATCTTGGATAAATAAAGGTTTGGCCAAGCAAGTCTTAGCAAGGTCAAATCTTTTTGAGCTGCTATTTTCATAATAAAGTACTCAGGAGAACTGAGAAAAAAATGGAATAAACAGATGAAAAAGGCAGTAATCCAATTTAAAAATGGGCAAAGGACCTGAATAGACATTTTTCCAAAGAAGACATCCAAATGGCCAACAGGTACATGAAAAGGTACTCAACATCACTAGTCATCAGGGAAATGCAAATCAGAACTACAATGAGATGTCAACTCACAGTTGGTATGATGGCTATTATGAAAAAGACAAGAGATAACAAATGTCGGGAAGGATGAGGAGAAAAGCAACTCTGTACACTGTTGGTGGGAATGTAAATTGGTACAGCTGTTATGGAAAACAGTATGGAGCTTCCTCGAAAAATTAACAGTAGAACTACTATGTGATCCAGCAATCCCACTTCTGGGTATATATTCAAAGGAAACAAAATCAGTATCTCAAAGACGGAAACAACTTAAATGTCTGTCGACGCATGAATGGATAAAGAAAATGTGGTATATGTATACAACGATGGAGTATTATTCAGCCATAAAAAAGGAAATCCTGCTATGCAACAACATAGATGAACCTGGAGCACATTATGCTAAGTGAAATAATCCAGACAAAGAAACACGAATACTGTACTGCATCACTTATATACGGAATCTTAAAAAAAAAAAATTGAACTCATAGAAGCAGAGAGTAGAATGGTGGTTTCCAGGGGATGGGGGATGGGGGACATGAGCAGATGTTGGTCAAGTGCACAAACTTTCAGTTAGAAGAAGAATAAGTTCTGAGCACCTAATGTGCAGCATAGTGACTATAGTTAATAATATGGTATCACATGGGACTTGAAATTCACTAAGAAAATAGATCTTAAGCATTGTCACCACAAAAAAAAAAAGGTAACCGTGAGGTGATGGATGTATTAATTAACTTGATTGTGATGATTATTTCACAATGGTATTTATATCAAATCACGTTGTGCACTTTAAATATATACAATTTTATTTGTTAATTATACTTCAATAAAGCTGGCGGGAAAATCATGTCTAAATGGCCAATTATTTTTTCTCCAGAAGAACACATTCTTGATTTTAGAATGAAAATCAATGGGAAAATTAGGTTTACTTAAAAGTCCATTGCCTTGTGGCCATTTTTGATGGAGTACATGTGCTCCATTAAGTGAGGGGACCTTCATGAAATTAATTTGATTTACTGCGCATGCATTTCCTAAGCGTATGGTGGCGGGCAGAAGACGTGGGCTGTGAAACTCTGGGGGATGTATATGGTCTTCTTAGGAGCCAAAGGCCATTTCATTTTCATGGCTTAGTTTGCAGGGGCTGCGTGGCAGATCCTGATGCAAACCTCAGCTGCATGGGGCAGGCTTAGAACCTGGACATGTGGAGGCCAGAGACTGGGCTGGGACAGGCCATCAGTTGACAGAGAAATCCCCCCAGACCACCCTGTCACTTCCTATTTGCTGGCAAAAGTTTTGTCATCTGTGCCCACACGGTGACTATCTTGGTCGTGGGTGTGCTGACGGGCAGAGGAGGCCTGGGTCCTCTGTGGCTCCAAATACTGCAGAATTCCTGGAAATGAGCAGAACTCACTGGAGCACAGAGCATGCAGAATCGGAGTGCAGGGGCTGGCAGCTGATGCCCACCGAGGACCTGGTCCCTCAACCATCCAGCACAGCTACCAGCTCCTAGGGCCGAATGTCTTATTTTTCACCTCTATTTTGGTGCCGATTGGGGGAGGGAGTATCTTTGAAAACAAGGGAGACTTTTTTTTTAACCTGTCCTGGTAGGCTGGGCGGGTCCCACTGTACAGCAGGAAGGA